CTACGCTGCCTACCTTCGAATAAAATAATTCCTTGCTTGCAAGCGCTGATACAAAGGGAACACCCTGCCATGGCATCCTTTTTGAAGACAGCGCAGGTGTTAGCTATCTCGACTAAGGCGGAGTGCCTCTACAGGAACTCATAATACGGGATAGATCGAAAAGCACCTTGATCTTTGGGTAGCTTTCAAAGCTTCCACCAAGTCATTATAACCAGCCTGCAAAAACCTCGGAGAACACTCCCCACTAGTCAGGGCTGGGAGCATTTAAAATGTTTTTTTGATAATCTTCTAGAACAATTCAATCGGAAGTGTGGCGGGACTTTCTTTCCAACCTACTAGGCGCTACATTATAAGCGTTTGGTTGTTTACGACTGCTGTTGGCGGATTTCTGCGATCTTTTCCACTGCCATACATATATCGGAATGATTTGAGGAACTTGCGCAATAAATTATGGTCATTGATGCCTCTCGAACTGATATTACAGAAACATTTGCTGTGCTGTTAAAAGGACCTGACAATAGGACAGCACCATGATCTTCACTTAGCCATGTTTCAATTTGCCCAGGACAGTGTTCCAGTCATAACCTCCCAAAGTCGGACCTTTTCAAATCAAAGAAAAAACATTGTGGGGGACTTTGTGAGGTGACCACTAGCTGATCGGGTATGTGTCGGTAGGACCACGCGGAAGCGCGCGCGACAATTGCAAATACTGTTTGGTTGATCGGTGCGCGCTCGCAATGGCTTTGAGAAAGACATTCCGCTGCTATTTCCCAACAGGATAGTCCGTCGTATCTCAGCAAAACGGCAATAAGTACAGTCTCCGAAAATATTCCGTCCATAAAGTATTGTGACAATCAAATGACTAAGGATCAGCAGGTAAGCTAAACTGACTCGCGAACAGAATCTCTAGAGGTTTCTCTGCACCATCTTTGCAATGTAATCGCTCCAGTTATGCAGATGACACAAAATCTAAGTGTTGTGACAATCCAGATCTAACCACAGTGAAAAGCACGGCTGGAAATTCAAGTGGACACAATCTGATTCAATAATGCGATTAGCTTATCGCGAACGTGCGCTTGATTGCAAGTACGGTGTTTGCAGATCGCCGCGCGCGACGTCGCGTGGTCCGAAATGCCGTCTTCCGTAGACGACCACATCCGAGGCGCGATTTCGCGTGCAAACGAGAAGAGTACTAGCTAGTTAGACAATTTCACAAGCTGCTGCAGTGCTACGTACAAAGTGACGCGGTGCAAATGACCCCGCTTGTAACGTCTTCCGCCGCAGATCATACACCTGGTAGAAAGGAAACTCATTGAAATGGGGGTGACCACGAATAGTACCAGAACCCATGAAACAGGAGGGCTCTGAAGAATCCTGGAAGACCTTGAAGATCACGGCTGCAGGGGAGATTCTTAATAACTGAATGTGCTCATGGATGCTATCTCTTCTTCTATAAAGTTTTCATGCAAAAAGGCTCGCTTTTATTTCATAACAAAATATTTGATGGTAATTGTAATCTCTGATCAAATGATTGAAA